AAGGAAGGAAGGAAGGAAGGAAGGAAGGAAGGAAGGAAGGAAGGAAGACCATGATAATAAGCAATAGATAATGTAGTATTTAAAACCATGAGCATGTTATAGGAGAGGAAAAGACTAGCCCATAGAAACACTGCCATCCTTCTATCTTCCTCCATCTTCCTGGTACCATTTTGTTTTGTTCTGTTTTGTTTTGTTTTGTTTTGTTTTTTTGAAACAAGGTTTCTCTCTGTAATGCTGACTATCTTAGAACTCACTCTGTAGACCAGGCTGGCATCATACTCACAGAGATCCTCAGGTCTCTGCCCAAGGCCTGGGATTAAAGGCATGCACCGCAACTGCCAGGCCTCATTTTTGTTTTTTTTTTTTTAAGTTAGGGCAGGCCTATAGTTCTGATGCAGTTTTGTCTTATTAATCAACCATGCTTTAGGATTATGTCGGAAATAGTATGTGCATGTGAATCTTTAAAAGAACGCCGATTTCCCAAGGTCACTTTATTCCTCAACAGTCTGCAATATTGAACATTTGCATAAATATATATCAAAGCATCCGCTTGTGTGAGTGAAAAGGTGGATCCAAGGACAGTGTTCTGTGTGCTACGGAGTCACAGGCAGACAGCGGTACCAAGTCAAAGAGCATCCTTTTGTCTTTCATACCAAAGACAAGCCACTGGAGTGCAAGAGAATCTGACGCCCACGTCATTAAGATGTAGATGCACATAAAAGATGCAATGCAGATAATTCAGACTAGACAAGAAGAATGTGCTGTAGGAATAATCCTTCTTCGTGTCATGGGATCTGGCACAGACAATAAATAAATAAATCCTCATTTTTCCCTTCCAGTGCTCTGTCATGAAAGAGCCACAGAGCAGACTTGTCATCTGCTAGCAATAGCAGCCTTGTGGGGTGGCCCTCAGCCTTGGAGACTTGTCCTCTGTTTACAAGACAAAGACTTCAACACCAGAAGTCCCCCAACCAAACGCCAGTGACTTCAAACCTTTTACAGTGGGAAGCTAGCTGACGTAGTGCATGGAAAGGACCAGTGTGGTTTTTCTGGAAACTGCACAAGAGTTAAGCAAAGCACTGTGTGTCTTTCTTAGCCGCCATTCAAATATTAAGGAAGCATCAGTCTCAACTTCAGCTTTGCAGGTGCAATCTGGGCCCTGAAACTCAGATCCATGCAGCGGTCTATCAATCTTCCAGACCGTGTATGTGTCTGTCTCCTGCTTATGTGTCCTGTGTCCTGGCATACATATGATTTTATTCACATAGCCTTCTCACTTACCAACACACCTAGCTCTCACTCGACTCCTTTTCCTGGGCAATGTCTTTCTCAGTGAACTTAGCTCACAGCACAACCTTTGACCTCCCTTCAGTGATGAAGTCACCCAAGGTCATTTACTGCCAGAAACATCCCTCTTCGGGGTACAACACCAGACTAGGGGACTAAAATTATAGGTTCTTCTTTGCAGATCCAAGTTAAAACCAGGTTGCTGTCTCAAAGTTGGTTGTAAATTTTGGATTTTATGGCCTACAAGTGTTATTATCGATGGTCTCCTGGCCTGCTCATAAAACCACATCTAAAAAGTAATGTAGCAGGCTTAGGTACATAGGATCAATGGCATCATTTTCTGAGAAAATAGCAACACAATACATAGATGAAAATTTGCTGTTTCTACCCTGCCAATATCAGGCTGATAAAAATGTTTAGGTGATCAAAAAAATGCTTAAATGATTATTAAGGATAGAATATCTCACGGAGACTTATAAATTGGTTATGGCCCCTAAAGGAACCCACAGCCCTCGTGGCTACTTTACATTCTCCAAGCCTCTGCCACAGCCTTGGCGACAACCAACTCACAGGAGCTTCAACTTTCCAGCAGCCTAGGGAGACCTGGAGGCAGGAGGCAGAGAATGGCTGCAGGAGGCCACACAGGGCCCAGTATTGCTTCATTTGGCTGGACTGATAATAAGCAGCACACGAGGTTACATAAGGCAGCATTATTGACCTTCAGCTTCTCTTCTGCTTCTCATCCCCAAAAGCATTCACTAGAGGAGGGGCTTAACAGCAAACGGAAAGAAAGGAAAATGGTTCATAGATCCCCATCTTTGATCTGGAAAGCGGTCAATAAAAATATGGAGATAAATACTTTGAAATAAAGATGCTCTTAAAAGCCAAGCTAAAGTCAGCCAGTGCTCGTTTCCTTTCGAACCCATTCCTTTGAGACACTGTCATGTGTTCCTTGAGGGTTAAAGCACTGAGAGCCACCATTCTGCTCCGGGAAAAAACCGACAATGAAGGCACTCTCTTACCTCTTAGCTCCCCGAGATCCAGAGATGTCCCAAGCTGCTCTAGCAAGGCAACCCGTGCTGCATTCTTTTTGTGTTTCTTGCCATCATAATGCTGCTGAGCCATCAATGGGTTATTAAACCAGGCCGCACAGAGACCACAGTATCTGTCTGAGTCTCTTCTTTGGTAGGGAGAGGCGACCACAGGAGCCGTGTCCACCCGAGGGGTCTTAAGTGAACTCAGGGGCGTTGCTGCGGGAGAAAGCAATAGCATATCAGTGCATGTCTGGGCACACTTTCCTTCAGTACTGAGGAATGAGCAGCCCATGCTCAGGATGGCAGGGGCTTTGTCAACACCAGAAAATTAATTGGATACAAACGAGAGTCTCTTATAAAAAAGCACTGAGATCAAAAGTTGCATAGTTTTGTGTCAATGTGTTCAAGAGATAGTCTCTTTGTAAGGAAAAAAAAGTAGTTTTAAAGTCTTGAAGATATGTTCTGTCAATCAACTTGGCGTGTGAAAGACTCTGAATGAGTCAACTGATGGTAAAGTTGAAAGGGCCAACAAACAGAGGCGTTAGCTAGCTGATTTGCATAGTACCAACTAAGGAAACCATGCTAAATATGACAGCTTTCTGTTGGGATAGGCTAGTTCGACCATACCTGCTAATGCTGACTTTGAAAGTACAGTTTCTCTCCCAGAAAGACCAGGCGAGACACTCTCTCGAGCAGATGTTGCTTTATCTAAGCTGAAAGGGCACATATCACTATTTTGAGATTGTACTCCCAGCTATTAATTTAACACATCCCATTGTGAACTTTAGAGTTATTTCTGGCCTAAGGAAAGAATAGAATTGAACTTGAAGGAGTTTACTAATGGAGAGTAAAAATAACTTCTCTATGCTTTCAACATACAAATTGCTTCTTTCCTTACAATGAGTGTGCCTGGAGTTACTGTCCTACTTCTCAGATGATTGACTTCAAAGACAGCAAATGGATGCTATAAAGGTGAGGATGTAGTTATATCGCATGGCACAGGACCAAATACTTAAGCTCCAAGGCCAATGCTCCTTCTGAGACCCCTGGGAACCCATTCATGCTTAGTAAACACAAAAACCAAAGGTCTGCCTCCTCTTTGTTTTATAAAGAATTGCACTGAATTGTAGAAAAAAAAAATACTTCAATCCAAATATTTTGGAGGAAGAAACTGGTGTTCTCTCTCGATGGCTCATTAGGCATAAGCAATTTAACAGCGTCTTCTACAAGTCCCTAATCTCCATGACAAGGATTTGTAGTTGACAAAATCATGACAATTAGGCCATTCTTCCAAGGAAGAGCAACAGCTTGGGACATTAAAGACAAGTTAAAGAACTAATTAATCAATTCCTCAAGCTTCCAAAGTTTTATGGAGACCCTTTCATGTTTGCGTTAAATGACTGATACACAAATACATACTTGCTAGATGACATTTTCGTCCAAGCAGCGCAAGCTCATGACAGTATCTCGGGCAGGCTCCCTTTCATCCTGAGTGCTCATCACAGGTGTAGGTAAGATGAAGCTAAATGGGCCAACCGTGTGGAGAAACTTTGACACATTTAATGTTTTTTAAAAGCCTCCCTGCTGAATTTGGTCAGCTAGAGCCACACAGAAATGAGGCTCAAATGTGGGCCATATGTCTTAGCTGCCATCCGGTATCATTCTGTCACGACTTAGCAACACTAATGAAAGCCACAAATATGCAGTCGTCCTGTCTATGAAGAGATATTTGTCTCCCATCTCAAGGAATTTGCACCTTGCTTCTAAAGCTTCCTGCATCCTTATCAGTTTCTGAAGATACAGAGCTACGTAGCAACAGGAAACAAATCATTAAGCATTCACAGTCTGAATGAATGTTGACTCCTGAAGCACGGCTGTTTCTCTTTAAACTCTAACAGGGAGTTTTGTGGTCATTCTGTTACTTGATACCTGATAGTCTACATCTGGGCAGGAACAGCACATAAGAAAGAATCTGTCAATCAGATAATCGTTCTGACACATGAGAACTGTTTGTGTTGTAGCTTTTTACCGCCCCCTCCTACCCAGATTACACTGTGTTAGCTTGTAAACCTGAAAGGTGAACTTATCTTCCGTTTTGTTTTCCAACCTTCCCCCACCCATCTTAAGCCAGTTCCCATCCTTGTAATGCCTGTGATGGCAAATAAAGGCAGCAGCATGGGAACAGCCCTGAATCAAAGGTAGAGCCTGTCAAATCAAAGGTAGACTTCAGCTCCACTGAGCTGAGTGACTTTCCTGGTTCCTGACATCTTCAGTTTCCAGAAAGCTACACCTCAGGGTCACCTTCTCCTCCTCAGCTGAGACATTTGTGGTTACAGAATCACTATGTAGGGATGAATAGGCTACAGAAATGCTGTCCTTTTCACAGCTTTGACTCCATGCCAAATACAGAAATTAGAGAGGAAGAGCACAGTCTCTCAGTTTTAATAAAATCTGTATGTGCATGGATCACAACACAATGCTTGGCCAAAGTGCATTACCCTAACCAAATAAATACAAAGAAGAATAATGATTATCTCTGAATGAAAACCATCCTTTATATAACATATAATTTTCTTTTCATTTCATACATTATGTATTCTTTCAACTTGTAAGAAAATATCCAATACTGACTTCACCTATCCTCTTAAAACTTAAACACAGAATAGTTAACTACTCAAAGCCCATGTTTTTTTTAAACATTAGATTCATTTAAATCTTAAAATCTTTATACCCAGACTAACCAAACACAGTAAAATATGTGGGGATAGGAAACAGGTTCATAGAGTCTCACTTAGGCCCTCTTCTAACACTGTCCATGTTTCCAGTGTTCCTCTAGTGCTGAGAGCCAAAGCCTTAAGTACTGCTATATCATCCTTTAAAATTACCATAAAATAACCTAGGGTGGTGGCTCAAGCCTTTCATCTCAGCACTTGAGAGGCAGAGACAGGCGGATCTCTTGAGTTTGAGGCCAGCCTGGTTTACAGAGTGAGTTTCAGGACAGCCAGGGCTACACCGAAAAATTCTGTCTCAAAAAAAAAAAAAAACCCAAAAAGGAAAAAAAAAACCATAAACATAAAGAAAAGCTGTCTTAGATCTCCGTGCAAAAGACAGCCCTGTAGCTTAGGCAAGAGCAGCAGTGCTGGCTCTTCTGTAAGTAGTAGGAAAAATTTTCACATGCATCTATTTTTGCATTTTATGAAAACATGGTTCTCAAAAAATAGTAGCTAATATTATCCATTAATGTTCCTAAAGTTGAATGGCAATTTTGACGGTTTTCCCAACGAGACTCTTTGATAGTGAAGAGTTGTGGCCATCACTTGCCTCCCGCTGACCCTTGCCAGCAGGCATGTGGCACCGAGCTGTGTTCTGCCCACAGCTGCACTGTCCTACGGGAGGCTCAGTTCACTTACTGAATGACACCCTGACAACCCAAGAAAGAGCTCTTTCTCCTTCCTCTAACCTCACAACCGTTTCTTCCTCTAAACTTACACCGTTCACTTAGCATTTCTTAAAACCACTTGCAATCTTAGTCATAAATAAATGTGTGTTTGTGGGAATGTGTGTAAGGGAAATGAGGTGATAAGCTTTTACAGATACATCTCTCCTTTAGTATACACCCCAATGATTCTTTGTTGCAATTCGGAAAAAAAAAAAAAAAAGAAAGCTAGGAAAACTCAAGTTTCCTCATGACTCAGGCTATATAACCACTTGCTGTAGGATATACTTCAATGGAATTATTGGCTATTTTCCTGATTCATATACTCATGCCATGTGGTACATGTATCAGAATATGTATTAGTTAGCTTTTATTGCCAACTTGATGCAAACTAGAGTCACCGAGAGAGGGAACCTCAGTTGAGAAATTGTCTCCCTCAGATTGGCCTGTAGCACGTCTATGGGAAATTTTAATTGTTCACTGATGTTGGAGGGCCCAGTTCACTGAGGGCGGTATCACCCCTATGCCCATAGACTCTGGATGTATGAAGCTAGCTGAGCAAGCTACGGAGAGGAAGCCAGGAGGGTGTGTTCCTCCCTGGTTTCTGCTCCAAGCTCCTGCCTTGGGTTTCTGCCCTTGATTTCTTCCATGAAGAATGGTGCTCTCTAAGCTGAAATAAATGTTTTTCCTCCCTAAGCTGCTTTTGGTCATGCTGTGATATCAGCACAATCAAAGGCAAACTAGAACAGTACATATGACAAACCTTGAATTTTCTCATTTTAAAACACTTTTGGCCTAAATGCTTTGGCCAAAAGTCATAGATCTGTAACCACTGAAAAGTAACCCAAATAGGCCTCAGTTCCTCTAAGACTTAAGACAGCTGGAACAAAGCACTAAGTCAGAACTTGACTTAGAAGAGTCACATCCTGGCCTTAAACACACTTTATATCTTCTGCATGCCTTGAACATATTTTTTTTCAGGGAACCGCACCTCAGCAGAAAGTGACAAGGTGAGTTTTCTTCAATAGTAACTGGGAATCATATGCACTTTTGATCCCTTTATGACAAAAGCACCAGCTGATTTTCAACATCTGCACTGCTATCACAATACTGCCTCACTCCACAGCCAGGCATTGCTTGCAACTTTCTCTGCATGAGTGGTGACGGGCTAGGAGTGTGGAAACCAAGTCTTTCAATGAATGAATGAAACAATCAATTAATCAATCAATAAATGGCCATCATTATAAGCAAGTAAATTTAAATAAAACATTTTTTTTCTTCTAAATGATGCCATGAAGTTTCTCAATACAGAGAAACATGGTGTTAAGATAGTCAGGGTACATATAAGCAAGGGGGTGACAAGCTGTTAGAGAAGAGGAATTAACAGTTAAACAGAAAAAAAAAATAGGTAGGTTGAAAGTCACTGTTCTCTAATTTCCATCATTTTGTAGAGTGGCCCATTTATTTTCAGAGACTAAGCATTGTGCATGGCATCCTGGAAGCCTCACTTGGAGCAGGAAGTTGTGTCTCTCCTGATATCCAAACTCCTTCTCTGGCTTCCACTGTGGTTCTCTGATAGTCCCTTCTGGTGATGTGCTTGATTTGATTAAGAGATGTAGCCCATGGCAGTTCAGTGTCCAAGTGGGTTCCATAGTAATGGGAACAGGGACTGCCTCTGACATAATCTGATTGGCCTGCTCTTTGATCACCTCCCCCTGATGGGGGAGCAGCCTTGCCAGGCCACAGAAGATGACAATGCAGCCACTCCTGATGAGATCTG